TAATGAAGAGCTGAAACTTTCGTTTTCACTTATCTAGTTCATAAATTATGAAAGTCTTGTTGAAAATTAATCGTGACTGAAGATGAACCTCAGAGCTGGAAAAGAAAGAGTTAAAGCTTAGTGCTTTCAGCTTGCTGTATAGCTCTATTACTATATGCGCAGTTATAAACACAACAGAAAGTTCTGTTTAAAATGGAAAACTTCTAAAAGATACCAAAAATTCAGAGCTGAATAATGAGAAAGGAAAGAGCTGCTTTTTTTGATAGGAAGACCCAGAACATGATTTTATAGCAAAACCTCCAGAGTACATTTTGGACATCTCAAGAATGACTTTCACATTTTAACTTTGAAGCCTACATCGTCAGAAGTAACTGGAAGGTTTATGAAGTCCAAGTGCTACGGTTTAAGTAGCCTAAATTTGCCAGGCAATGATTCTCAGAATAACAGATCCCTGCAAGATCTTTCTCCAATGTTTCACAGCTCAATGAAGATTAGCCCTTAAAGAATGAGGGCTAACTGTATTTCATTACCTTGAGTTTATCACAGGTTAAAAGTATGAGCATGGACCAGCTCCCTCAGGTCAGCAAACTTACAGTAACTCATGGTTCTGTGGCACTTTGTTCTCATGCGTGCAAGTTCTAATTTTTTCTGCTGAGTGACAGGTATCCATATAGAAATATTCTAGAAAGGCAATAGTGCTTACTAAGGTACAGAAAACCGTGACTTTCAGTCACTGACCAAGTCTGCGAGCTTAAGTTACACAAATATTCCAAAGTTTTTCCAGTCAGCCATTGGATTGGGAAGGTAGTAGAATTTAGGCCTCTCATCCCTGATTCGATAACAGACTTGGACAAAAGATTTGTCTAAACAGGAAGTGTGAAAAGTAGGCTATGAAAGTAACTTAGAGTGATATTTGCTATGTGTTAGGTTTCTTTGTCGATGATGGAGACGTACTTTCATAACAGTTGCCAGTGAAGGAGACAGTCCCATCCATTCCCTGCCTGCCACCCCTTTGGAACACTATTTTAAAAAGTACTCTGTTTTTCAGCTGTATCATATCTCTGGTATGTCTGCATGGCTGTACAAGTGGTAATGTGATACAAGGGACAGTGTAGTGGTAATAGGGTCTTAGATAAGTTTAAACCTCCCATGAAACTGCACCTAGTCAGCTGCATCTGACCCAGCTAGTGAAAGGAGTGGTTTTGTGACAGCTTTACCCAGTCACAGTGCCAACATCTCACTAGCTGCACAGTCCCACTCCCTTGCCGTGCAGCCCTGAATTAGGCCGGGTCATGCTTCTGTGGGAAGCACACAATAAACTAGTGAGCTAGGCTGCCCAGATTCTGGCTCAAGTAGACAATGGAGGGGGAGAATGACTCTTCCAAAATAGCCTCCTGAATTAAGCTGAAGCTATAAAGCAACCTTTGCAAAGACCTATCCTATACAACTGACTATACAGGACACTAGCCTCCTAACTTAAGCACCTTAAATTAGATGCCTGAAGTTGAGTGGTGTGTGTATCTTTGTTACACACTCTAAAAGCAAACATAAACAGCATGAACACCTTTGTGGAACAAGATGTGCTATGGAACTGCTCTTAATGCAGCATGACCTTGGGAATATCCCTTGATCTGCATCATAACATATGCATCTTTAAAAGGCAGATATTTGCCTTGCTGGAGTGTTACAAAGCACTGTGAGATCTTTGAATGATATACGTTATGAACAAAGATTTTTGATAATGTTGTTTCACAGTGCTTAAGTTTTTGTTCTAATTGTACTAATGGAGCTAAAATACATACTGGTTTTGTGACACTGACAGAAGGGAATGTTAGGGTAACTCACAAACTTACTTTGTAATGTGGCCTAGAATTTGGTCTTCTGAGTCTGGTGCAGTATCCCAGCATGCACACTACTGTATGATTATTTTTTATTGGGCAAAACTGTTGAGGACTTGTTACATAGTATATAGAAATGAGCTGCTTAGCAAAGTCTGAATTTGAAGGATTTGGGCTACTCTATATAATGACAGAATTACTTTTCATTGAATATGAAGAAAGTCATTTTCTTGTTTCTAAATTTCCCAGTGGCATGAAAACTCTTATCCTCTTTTAGTGATGTCCACATCTGGAGACAGTGGTAGTTAGGAATCTGGCTACAAGGCAAAATAAATCAAAATTATCCTCATTGCTATGTTCTTGAGGAAGAAAAGCTGCTAGAACTGAAGCATTTCACTTAATTTGGCTCATGTTATATCTCGAGTTTAATACTAATACTGAAGAAAAAAATGCTTGCACACCTGCAGTCAGTTAGCCAACAAGAATGAAGTAACTGACAGGACAGCATTTTGCTTGCTTTGTGTTTTGAAACTAAAGCAGCTGTTAAGTTTTCAGTAAGATATAAATGGTATTGTGTTAATGTTGGGCAAGGGGAAGGAACTTGATACGGGTCAGCTGCTTGCTCCAGGAATGTAAGATTTTTAGCATTGTGAAATGTTTTGTTCATTTTGTTTTATGCAGAAGCCTTCATTCAACCACAAATGTTAAAATAATTGTTAATATTAGTATATTAAAGATATTTAATGCCAAGCCATACATGGCTTTGTAGTGTCTGAAAACAGATCTGTTTGTTTGTCCAAAGAAGTGAGTGTCCTGACAGTAGCGTAACAATCTGATACTTCTTTAGATAGTGACCAGAGGATGTGAAACCACGGAAATGACCCTTCGGAGGAACGGGCTGGGCCAGCTTGGATTCCATGTGAACTTTGAAGGCATAGTGGCAGATGTGGAGCCCTTTGGTTTTGCATGGAAGGCAGGCCTACGGCAAGGGAGCCGCCTGGTTGAGATCTGTAAAGTGGCTGTGGCAACTTTGACTCATGAACAAATGATTGACCTTTTACGTACATCGGTGACAGTAAAAGTGGTGATTATTCAACCACATGAGGATGGAGCACCTAGAAGGTAACAAGCAACAGTTCTCAGTGTGACATCTCTATCTGTTTGGATTTTTTCCTCTGCTACTGCTTAAATGATGGCTCAGGAAATGGATATTGTCTGTCATGTTTGGTGAGAATATTATTGAGGTTCTTAAAGCAATCTTTTCCCCAAAACCCCTATTGGCTTGTAATAGAAGATGGGATCCTGTAAGAAATTGAATGGGGAATTTACTTCTATATGGCTTTGAAAGAGTAAGAAGTAAACTTTAGTGCATCATGACTGAGCTATTGTGAAAGCTGATGTGACTTCTTTTCTTCCACAGGAGAATTTTATATTTTAATACTAAATTTGAAAATTGGGAATTCTTCTCTGAAAACTGCACCTTGTCTGTCTGTGACATTTCTCTGACTCCTGACTATTGAAAAAGATTTGGTTTATTTTTTCTTATGTTGAAGTTTTAACAAAAGTAGTGAAAGACTGGGTTCTGGACATATATGGTACCAAGTCTTAGAGCCCTCCTCACTTTCTGCAGACTTCTAATTTAGTCATATTAAATGGTGAATTACATCAACGAAATCATCAGTTAAAGCAAAGAAATCTTTCTGCAACATGAATAAATGCTCACACACTCAGGAAAAGACTGTAATAAAGATTATTATAGTGACTATACCATTGTTTTCAAGGATGAAACGCAATTTTCTTTTGTCAGTGTTCCTTTTTTTGGTGACAAAAAGATTTTTGCTCTTCTCTCCATTTTTTAATATTATGAGGTAGAGAAGAAGTAGGGAAAAATGAAAACTTTATAATAATATGACTTTATTTCTCACATGCCTTGTCTAGGCACTGTTAATTTGGCTCATTCTAAATGAGAAGTGTACCGGAGTAAATTGAATTACTTGTCTTCTTGTAGAAGGCCAACTTTAAATCTCTTGTTGATTTTTAATTTAACAGAAAAAACATTAGATGTGTTGCTTTTGGCAAGACAACAAGCCATAAAATTTTACGTAGCGTGCAGCACTATGAAGTTGGTGCCAACTGTACACGAATACTGTTTAATTGGTGGCAATTCTCCAAGTAGTCATTGGCCTGATGAATGACACAGAAGTGCCCTCCCCTACCTCAACCTGCATGTCTATGCATTGGGTTCCTTTCTGAAGAAAATGCCTGTGAATGTAGAATACCACCGTTTTGCTTAGTTGGATAGAATTTGCAATTAAGCCTCTCTTTGCTTAGCTTTGCTATTCTCACCATCTGCTTCTGGGTATGAATTTTCACTGACTTGTTTGGTATACAATTCCAAGCTGTTTACAGAATATCAGCCTAATGAGCTGATCCTATTATATTGAAGGTAAAACCGTGTATTTTATAGGCCCTGATGGAAAAATACATGCTATATGAATTGTTTATATCTTCTTTGATACATTTTTAGAAATAAAATGTTAAAATCCCAAATCAGTGCGATACATGGCACTCCATCTATGTGTAGGAGGAGTTTTAACTGAGTGCCACCAAACTGGGAAAAATCTGCAAAAGCTGTTCTTGTTTATAAATTTTTTTCATTTTTAAAACTGTGTGACTAATTACTAAGGAAAATGAATTTTTTTAAACTATGTTTCTATTCTAAAATATGAAAAACACCAAAGCATTTATGCTTAAGTTCTTTTCAGCCTCATCTCTCCAGTATAAAAATCTTCACTAATGCCTCTTTCTCTCAAATATCAACTTCTTACTGAAACAGAAAGCTCCTCATTTTCCACTTTATATCCCTAAAATATGATTAGTAATTTTGATTGCCCAACTTTAAAGGGATCCCATATCCAAGAGTTTCGAGCTTGCCTTTTCTCAATGTTTATAATCTAAACAGAGCAGACAGAAGGCAGTATAGATATCAGGTGACAAGACTGAGAGTTGCCTCTGACAAACATGACCTATGACGTTGTTTGTAAAATATATTAATGAGCAGGGGAATGAGGAGAAGGCAGAAAGGCATAAATTACCACAGGTTTGGAGAAAGCAGATAGCCTATCACAGCTACTTGCTAGTTAAAACTTATGCAAATCCATCTCCCTGTCTCCTACTCAATTGCTTGTCTTAGCCATCTGCAATGATTTATCTTGCAGAATCATAGAACAGAGAATAGTTGAGGTTGGGAGGGACCTCTGAAGATTGTTGAGTCCAACCCCATTGCTCAAAGCAAGGTCAACTAGAGCAGATTGCTCAGGGACATTTTCACTGGGTTTTGAATATCTCCAAGGATGGAGACTCCACAACTTCGGTTCCAGTTTTGGACCAACCTTACAGTAACAAATGTTTTTACTTATACTTCAGTGGAATTTCCTATATTTCAATTTGTGCACCTTGCCTCCTGTGCTTTTACTGAATACAACTCCGAAGAGTCTTACTCTGTCATCTTTTCTCCCCATCACCCCATCAGGTATTTATACACACTGATAAGATCCCTCCTAAGCCTTCTCATTCCCAGGCTGAACAATCCCAGTGCTCTCATCCTCTCCTTGTGTTTCAGATGCTCTGACCCCAATCATCTTTGTAGCCCTTTGCTGGACTTGCTCCAGTATGTTCATGTCTCTCTTGTACTCTGGTATGAGGTTTACAGAGAAATTTACAGGCAGTAGTTTTGGATATAAAATAGGAGTATCTGGAGAACTAGAATCCATTTCACCTTCATTTGACAAGAAATGTCGCTGTCCTTGGAGAACCCATGCGTGGCTGTATAGGATAGAATTGGGTTCTGAGTGATTTCCAACACATATCTGTGAGCAACAGTTAAGGCAGGTGTGCCAGCTCATCAGAAGAGAACTTTCTTACTGTCAAGTAACTCTAATAATTGTCAAATAACACTCAAAATAAACATGCAGATATTTCATTCAAAGTTGGGGGTCCATCAGTCCTTGATCCATATGCTGCACATGTCTAGAAGAATGATGGTTCAAAAGCAGGAGAAAGCTTCACCTGTATGCTCCAATAATTATTGCTTTCATTCACAGCTGTTTTTACAGATTTTCTTCTAAGAAATGATACTTCAGTCTATGTGATGTACGTAGAACAGTAGATTTGGAGGCTGAAATAAGTACCTTGAAAGTTTGACTCATTCTACAGAGCATATGATATTCTGGCAGTTGGGGTTTTTTCTCTGTATTTCAGCCTTATTTCTCAGGGTAGATATTGGTAGTTTATAAAAAAAATTTAGGTTAAATGCCATAATCTGGGGTTTCAAGTTCAGCCACTAAGCTTTTGCCCACAGTGCATAGATATAAAACTACATTCATCTTTGTTTCTACAAGAATCAGTTGCATTAAGAATTGACATACATTTACAAGAATATAAATATAACTTTAGCAAAAAAAATTTCATAGTTTCATGAAAAATCCCCATGTATCATTTTATTAATGCCTGTCTTTCATTTACTGAGGTAATCAGCTGATTCCCACTGCTTGAAAGAGTGGTTTCTGCCTAGTGTCTGCTGGGTTTTAGGAATGTGAAGCAACGAGGACTTTCTTTTTAGGTTGCTTATTAGCACTGGATCCTTGCTGGGATCAAATTCTGAAGTGAGTTTACACAGATTGGACATGAGTCCCATGGAGTGTCTTAGGAATTACACCCTTCAAATGAAAATGTGTTTCAAGTGTGCAAGGGTGTTTCCAAAGCAGTCCCAGTCCCTTGGAAAAATATCAGCTGAAGTGGAGATCTTTAATCAAGTTCTTAACTTGACTTTTTTCTCTGTTAGCTTACCCACAAATAGAATCATAGAATCGTTTAGGTTGGAAAAGACCTTTAAGATCATCCAGTCCAACCATTAACCTACACTACCAAGTCTACTCTAAGCCAATCAAGGGTAGACTAGACTAAACCATGTCCCGAAGTGCCACATCTACCCGTTTTTTGAACACTTAAATCATCCTCAGTATATCATATATAATATATATAATATATCATCCTTTATATTTTAAAAGAAAACCAACAAAGTGTAAGTGTGCATACACTGAGAATATTGGCAACGGACTATTAACAATGAATTTACTTGTTGCTGCAGAATGTCTTGTATTAATTTATTTCAGCATGAAAATAAATTATTTGAAATGTTGAAGGTGCTTACAAAGGAATGTTACAGCATGATTAGGAAATTACAGAGGAAAATTCTGCTCAATAAATGAATTCTATTACTTAGTGTAGATCCTTCTACCTATGGTCTTGATAGCAGTATATGCAAAAGCAATCATGGAATAAGGCCTTTCATTTACTATCCTGTAAAATTAATGAACTTGAGACAAAGCTCCTGCTGTTTTCAGTTTGCTCCAGCAATTAAATAATCATGCACAAATTGAGAAATCATAATTATTTGCAAGGCACCAGGCTGATATTTAGATAGAAAGAAGAAATTGCTATTTAAAACATAAATTCTTTAAATTACAAAGCAGCATTAGAACAAACATGCTAGTCAGTGTATTCAGAACTGAATAAAGTCTCCTTGTGACATATTTGTTTCTATGCTATGTCTTTCCCTTCAGAATTGTTGATTTGTTCTTCTGTTGTTGTCAATATTACAGTGTAATGCTAGAATTATACACATTTTAACAGGAGAATAATGATGTTCATTCTAATTTGCTTTCACTGGTGGTGTCACACTAATGCTCAAGGACACTATATCCTTAATCAGTCAAATCCAATCAAGGAATTCAAGTACTTCTAAATCCATTTTAAACTGTAGATTCTGCTAGAATCTTACTCACTACGCTGAAACTTATGTGTCTGTCTGAGTTCAACTGCCATTATGTATAAACTGCTTAAGAAAGGTTTAAGAAACAGTTTCTAGAAAGTTCAGAAAACAAACAAAACTTTAAGCAAAATTTCCAGGGATGAGCAAGAAACAGCAGCCCAGGTACAACCACTGTAAGAGATGTAGCAGCAGTAGTTTCCACCCGTTGGTCTGAACAAGTAACAGACTTTTTTCCTGCTGTTGTAGGCAATTTGGAAATGGAAATATTTTAGTAACTATGTCTGAAACT